ACTTAAAAGCACAAAGACACTTTTTCCACATACAGTACCACGTACAGTTTCCAGGACTTGGAACCCGGAGCTCTTTGGGGGCCAGTATTCAGCTGACCATGCGTCCCAAAGCCTCAGTTCTCTCAACTATAAAATAGGGTACTGGGAGGGTGACCAGTGTATCTAGAGAAGGCACTCAGAATATCACGGGGCATGTCATGAGCACTCAATAAAGGGGAGCCTCATTTAAAGTTTCCTCTTTGGAGGTGCCTGGGTGGCTCAGTGGGTTAAGCCTCTGCCTTTGGCTCAGGTCATGATCGCAGGGTCCTGGGATCAAGCCCCGCATCAGGCTCCCTGCTCAGCAGGAGCCTGCTTCCCCCTCCCTCTCTGCCTACTTGTGATCTCTCTCTCTCTATGTCAAATAAATAAATAAAATCTTAAAAAAAATAAAATAAAAAATAAAGTTTCCTCTTTGAAAAAAAATTTTTTTTAAGATTTTATTTATTTACATGATAGAGAGAGAGATCACAAGTAGGCAGAGAGGCAGGCAGAGAGAGAGGGGGAAGCAGGCTCCCCGCTGAGCAGAGAACCCGATGTGGGGCTCAATCCCAGGATCCTGAGATCATGACCCGAGCCAAGGGCAGAGGCTCAACCCACTGAGCCACCCAGGTGCCCTGAAAAAAAATTTTTTTAATAAAAAATAAAATAAAAATAAAAATAAAGTTTCTTCCTTGGGCCTCAGTTTCTCTACCTGGAAAATGGGGAAGCAGGGTATGTGGAGTTCAGGGGTTTCCAGCTCTTTCGCTCCCTGGGAGGGGTTCCTCTTTTGTCTCCCTCTTTTTTTTTTTTTTTTTTGCAGAGGGAGGCCCTGAGAGGAGATGTCCCTGCATCCGGGAGGCGGCCAGGCCAGGATGGAAAAGTCACATCAGTGTCCCCTGGAGCCGGGGAGGAAATGGCCACAGCCGTCCTCCCACCAACAGCCAGGCCAGAGGTGGTCCCCTCCTCAGGCAGGTGGCAGGAGGCTGTCCTAGATGGACGTGCGCAATTTCTCCACGTCTCTACTTGCTCTCTCTGAGGTCCATCGGGAGTCATTCTCTCCAGATCCCTCTGCTTCTGTCTCTGTCCCTCCATTTCTCACTGTCTCTGTCCCTCTCTCAGGTGGAGAGATCTCTCTCCCTCTCTGACTGCCCTGGCGTCAGTCTGTCAGTTGGCTCCGTCCCTCTTCCTCTCTCACTGTCTCTCCCTTTCTGTCTCTCTGGATCTCTTGCCCTCTCTGACTCTGCATGAGATTCTCCCCTCCTCAGCCCAGGGAAGCCCCCGAAACCTGTGGGCCTCCCTCAGGACCCAGCAGGCAGGTAGGAGCTGGGCGAGGCCCAGATGAGTCACCAGAAGGAAAGAGCGGACATTCCTGCCGCTCTTCTGGGATTGTGCACGGGCCCAGCCTCCTGCCCGCCCCCTCCCGTGCCACGTCACTGGACCTCACAGGTGTGTGTCACCTGAGGGAGAGAGAGAAGGAACGAGTCACAGAGACAGAGAGAAGAAAGACAAGCCTAGAGAGACATTAAAAACAGGGATGGAGAGACAGAAAAGAGAAGCAGAGAAAGAGACAGGAAAAAAGAGACAGAGACAGGGAGAGATAGAGTGACAGAATCAGAGAAAGTGAGACACGGGTTGAGAGAGACAAACAGAAACAAAGAAAAAGACAGACACAGGAGGGGAACAACAGACAGATTTCGAGAGACTAGAGCAGTCTGAGGTGGGAATGGGTGGGCTCCAAAATATTTCCCTCATTCTTTAAATAAATTTAAAAATAATAATAATAAAAGAGGATGACCTCAGAGCAGTGAGGTCATCCTGCCAGTAGGCTGGATCACAAGCCTTCCTGGACCAACACCCCAACTGTGTATTTCCCCACCTCAGTCGGTCTTCATGCCACTTGCAAGAGGGGCCCCACTTTCCACATGAGAGAACTCTAGGCTCTCAAGGGAAGATATCTGTTGGCCCAGGGTGACCAAGAAGTAGTCTAGTCCTGCAGCCAGGGCCATGACCTCCCCTGACCTCAAACCCTTAGAATGTCTCCACCTCTCTCCCCACCCACCATGGAGAGAAAGCTCTGGAGAGCCTGCCCAACAATAATCAGTAGGAGTTAGAGTCTTCTACTGAGCACATGCCACACGTCAGGCATGGTGGCACGTGCCCTGGGGGCATTTTTTTATGTCCCTAGCACACCAGCCCTGGGAGAGAGGCACTTGTGAAGGAGCTGGAGGCCCAGAGAGGTTAAATATCCTGCCCAAATCCACAGAGTAGGGTGTAGCTGGAATTTTAACCCTTCCAGTCTGGTGCCAGCCCCCATATCTTAATCACTAGGCTCTACTGCCTCTTAGAAGGGAGGATTTTTTGGGGACTTTTCATACTTTACCTTAAAGTTATTACCTTAAGGCTTCAGTGAATTAGCAAAAGTAATAACACTATACTCATTGTTATACTGGTAGAGATAGCTACTACTTACTCATTGCCTACTATCCTCTCCCTCCCCTATTCTGTTCCAGCCACTCTAGTCGCTCTGCTGTTCCTAGAGCTTGTCAGGACACCCCCCCCACTCTGCCCCCACTGGCAGTTGCCTATCCCTGGAACTCTTCCTGGATCATCTAAACTTCTGCCCTCACCACACTCAGCCTCTGCTCAAATGCCACCTGCTCAGGGAAGCCAGCAGCATCACCACACCTGAAACCAACCATGCCTCACTTGTATCCTTGTACTTCCTGCCTTCTGGTTTGCTGTTCTCTGTTTTACTTACCACTGCCTGAGAGCCACAGACTAAATAACACATATTAACTCTTCATTGTCAAGGGCAGGCACTTTGCTTTGTTTCCTGCTGTGTCCCCAGCTCCTCCTGGACCAGTACCTGGTACAGAGTAGGTTCTTGGTAAATGCTGAAGGAATTTGTTGAGCCCTCCTTGTGGGCCAACAACTGTTTCAGGCAACTTCACCAGCGTAAAATTGCTCTGGTGGGTCAGAAGCACGCAGAGATGGAGAGACTAGACGATTTTATCTTTTACGTTTTTTTACTTTTTATTTTTTAAGAGAATGGGAGAGAAAGAGAGCACACATGAGGAGGAGATGGGTGGGCAAAGGGAGAAGGAGAGAGAGAATCTTAAGCAGGCTCCATGCTCAGCGTGGAACCCAATGGGGGGCTCCATCTCACCACCCTGAGGTCATGACCTGAGTGGAAGTCAAGACAGACACCTAACCGATTGAGCCACCCAGTCGCCCCTACATTTTATTTTACTTTTAAAAAAACTTAATGGGGGTGCCTGGGTGGCTCAGTGGGTTAAAGCCTCTGCCTTCGGCTCAGGTCATGATCCCAGGGTTCTGGGATCAAGCCCCACATTGGGCTGTCTGCTCAGTGGGGAGACTGCTTCCCCCTCTCTCTCTCTCTCTCTCTGCCTGCCTCTCTGCCTACTTGTGATCTCTGCCTGTCAAATAAATAAAATCTTAAAAAAAAAAAAACTTAATGAGGACCTTTACAAATACACAGAAAAAGGAGACAGAATGGCACGGAACTTACCCTGAGATATTGCCTTACATTTTTTCCTAAAGCATTTTAAAGTAAATGCAGACATCCTTGACATTCACCTCTAGCTACTTCAGTGAGTGTCTGTAAAAACCAAGAACAGCTTTCCACATAACCACAGGATCATTTTCATAACAGCAATATCTACTTTTTGGCTGAAGTGTTTGAAGGTAAATTAGAGACGTTATATTCTTTCATCCCCAAATATTCCAGGGTGCATCTCTAGTGATAAAGACATTTCCCCGTGTGACCACAACACCATTATCCCTCCTAACAAAACTAACAAAAATCCTAACAATAGGGCGCCTGGGTGGCTCAGCAGGTTAAGCCTCTGCCTTTGGCTCAGGTCATGATCTCAGGGTCCTGGGATCCAGGCCCACATTGGGCTCTCTGCTCAGCGGGGAGCCTGCTTCCCCCTCTCTCTGCCTGCCTTTCTGCCTACTTGTGATCTCTGTCAAATAAATAAATAAAATCTTAAAAAAAAAAAAAAGACTTCCAAGAAAAAAAAAAAAAAGTCCTAACAATAATTAATGATCAACCACAAATGTCCCATCAGGACAAGTTTTTTTTTTTTATTTAAATGCAATTGATTAACATACAGTGTATTATTACTTCAGAGGTAGAGTTCAGTGATTGGTCAGTTGCATACAACATACAGTACTCATCACATCAGGTGCCCTCCTTAATGAAGCCCATCCCCCAGTTACCCCGTCTTTCTTCCAGCAACCCTCAAAGTTTGTTTCCTAGAGTTCAGGGTCTCTTATGGTTTGTATCCCTCTTTGAGTCTATCAGGACAAATATTAACCAGAGAGCAGAGGTCCTTCCCCCAAGGTCCCACAGCAGGGGGAGGGAGAATTAGAATTTGGTGTATGTGTGTGTGTCTATTTTTTTTGACACAACAAAATATATTTTATTTCAATTATACTAGTACAGGAAGGCGGGGGCGGGGCGGCGGGGGGGTGGGGTGGTGGGGAATGCTCAGCACCAGCAGCTAAAGGCCACAGGGGCTGGTCCGGACTGCTGTTAGCCCACCAGCCCCTGCGGCATCTGTAGGATCTTCGTCCCTGCGACCCTGGGCAGCGCTAGTAAGATATGTCTGTTGCAGTCACCGCTTGGTGCTGTCTGTCCCCGAGGCCAGCCGCTGCTGCAAGGACTTCGCTTGGCGTTGCAGGGTGTCTCTCAGCGGGCCCTGACTCTGGCTGGGACTCCAGCTCTGGGAAGTGAGCTGTGGAAGGCCACTGAGTTTGCACCCTGGCAGCCTGGAGACAGCTTTGACAGCGGCCACATGAGTCAGAGCGGAGCCTACCCAACCCCCCCCCCCCCCCCCCTGGCCGCGCCCTGGCAAAGGAAGTTTTTGAGGAGGAGGGGTCAGGGGCGGGGAGGTGGAAGCACCCACGCATCTAGGGCTGACTCGCTCTTTCGCAAACTCTCTGGGAGGAGCCCCGGGGGCACAAAACTGTCTCCTTCCCCGGGCCAGACTGAGAGGTGCAGGGAGCCACACGGACAGGATCTGCTGCCAGACATGGGCCGCCCGAGGCTGCTGCCGCTGCTGCTGCTCTTGGTTCAGACCTGCGTTCCAGGTAGGGACTGGACACCCAAACACCTGCGTGGGGAACTGGGTCCTGAACACAGCGAAGAGGGGGAGGGGCGGGGGGCTCGGAGTTGGAGGAGGGGGCTCAGTCCCCAGCCCTCCCCCTCACGTAGTGATCCTTCAGCGGTCTGCAGCCCCACACAGCATAGTACCTGGCAAGCAGTAGGTGCTCAGGAAATAAGAGTGGAGCGAAGGCACTGAACAGCAGCCGCCGCGGAGTGCGCTCTTTATTTCGGGCGCTCCTCCAAGCCCCTTCCCTGCAATTTCAAACTGGACAGGCAGAAGCATTTCAACCCTGTTTCACGGAGAAGGAAACAGGTTCAGAGAGGTAACCTCCATCCAGTCCTGGAATAAGTGGGATTCTGGCCTCGCGGGGGTGTCCCACAGCTCTCTCCACTCGCGCGGGGCTCCCCGCCGCCCCCCCGCACCGACCAAGCCCCTGGAAAGACAGGGAGCAGTGAGCCTCATTTTACAAAAGATCTAAATGGAGAGGCGGAACATCGCAGAAAAAGGGGCTGGGGATCCAGGCCTTGTCCCTGGAGGACCCTTCTTTCACTATCCCCCAGCTACCTGCTCAACTCCTTTCCCGGGAAACATGCGGGAGAGGGTTGAAAAGCCAGAGGAAACAGAGAAGGAACTGAGTCAGGGCGGGGCGGGGAACAGGGGGTTGCGGGACGGCTCAACCATGAATAACCCGGAACGGTCTCCGGATCTTTCGCGGCGGAGACTGAGTAATGACTCCAGAAGACTGCGAATTTGGGGTGGGGAATGGACCCCAGCAGGGGAGGCCGGGGAGGCGGGTAAAGGTGCTGGGGGCGGGCGGGTAGCGGGCAAATTTACGACCGCAGGAGGGGCTAGTGGGCGGGGCTAGAACCTCGCGAAGAGCTGGTGGGCGGGGAGAGAACCTTGGGGGAGGCTCCTGCAGTTGGGGTGAGAACTTCCCGAGACCTCACGGGTGAAGTTAAAACTTTGGCCTGGACTAATGGGAGGGGAGAGAATGTTGGGGAGAGGCTATGGAAAAGGGTAGAGTCTGGGGGCATTAATAGGGGGTATAGTCAGTGGGGGTCACCAGGAAGTGGGGTAAAGATCACCTGCAGATCAGGTGAGGGTAGAACGCCCTTAGGAGAGCTTGCGAAGCAGGATAGACCAAGGGCCGGTGGAATGGGGGAAGGGACGTAAATTGGAGCTGGGCTAGAATATCCAGATGGACAGAGAGGGTGAGGATTGGACTCAGGATGGGCCAGGGAAGGATTGTGGGAGGAGACAGAATTTTAGCGTAGGGGTATAGATAAAATGTGAGGTTAGAGATAGACCGGAAGTTCTGCTGACCCAAAGCCGGTGCTGGAACCGAAGGGCGAACAGAATGTGGAGCACGAACCTGAATGCACAAGGCCTGGAGACTTGGTCCTGATACTGGGGCATGAAGTGGGTGGGGAACCCCACTGGAAGCTATAACAATCTCTCCTCTCCTCCCTGTCCCCGCCCCCACCCCCCAGCCTCCTGGAGCCTGCAGTGCCTGCTGTGTGGGAGGACCGGGAAGTGCCGGGTGGAAGAGTGTGCCCATGGCCAGGACCTCTGCCGGACCACGACCTTGCGCATATGGGAAGGTGAGCTCCCCACCTAGACCACCACAGGGAACTCAAGCGACCAAGAAACCTTATTTCACCAACAATCAGGGAAATGCAAAAGAAAAAGACAAACGGACCCTCTTTCATACCCATCAGATAAACAAGCTTTTTTGAAAATCTGACAAGCTGGGATGGATGAGGATTTGGAGCTACAGCCCCTGTTAATGGGGATAAATTCGTGCATCCACCGCACAGAGCAATTTAGCAAAATCTAGTACAGATAACGATCAGTATACCCTCCAGGCGGCAGTTCAACTTCTAGGAAAAAGAAACCCCGAAGAACCTTAGACACAGGTATAAGAATGTTTTTGGCCGTTATGTTTGTGATACATGTTAGTCATCAGTGTAGGAGAAACATTATGGTGTAATCACACAGTGGAATGCCTCACGGCAGTTTAAATGAAGGAACTTAAGCTGTAGGTATTCAAGTGGACACATCTCAAAAATTCAGGTTGAAAGGGGGGAAAAAAGCATGTTTCAGGGTATGATTCCTTTTACTATAGTTTATAACAATATACAATAAATAATGTATAAATAAATAATATTATACATTGTTATATGTACCCAGTGTGAGAATTACCAGTACCAGTGGTTGCTTCTGGACAGGGCATAAGGGGAATGGGATTTGGGGGAGTGAGCAGGAGGCTTTAACTCTGTCTTTTAAATTTAAATTCTTTAAAAAAATATCTGAAACAAATAGAGCAACATTTTCTAATAGTTTATAAAATTTGGTGATGATTGCACAGTACTTATTGCATCATTCTCTTATGCTTTTTGGCAAGCCTGTAATATTTACCTTTGAAAATTCCTGTTAGAGGGATCTCCCTGCTAAAATCACTCAGCTGGGAGGGAGAGATAGATGGATCCAGACAGCCTCGGCAATAGTGCGATCACTAAGAGAGAACAGGCTCGCCGTGGTGGGAGAGTGAGGAGGGGAGACAGCTGGACCCAAGAGAGGAGGCCTGGCAGGGATCAGCCCTGGAAGTGGGTGACCTTAGGACAGGGAGCGTCAGGCTGTTTGGGCCCAGGGGAGCCTTTGGGGTGACAAAGATGCATTCCTCCCAGGAGGTGAAGAGCTGGAGGTGGTGGAAAGAGGCTGTGCCCACCCCGAGAAGAGCAACAGGACCATGAGCTATCGAACAGGCACGCAGATCATCACTCTTACGGAGGCCCTTTGTGCTACCGACTTGTGCAACCGACCCAGCCCTGGTGAGTTGGGCAGCTCTCATCTTCCCTGACTCGTCCATCACCCGTCATTTTCTTAATCCCATCCCCACCAGCCCTGACTCTCAAATGCCTATTTAAGAAAAAGACTTAGAAAGGCTCAGGTTCTCCAATTCCTGCAGGAGAGTGTGGGAAGTCATGGCTCCGTGTTGCATGGTCGTGCGTGCAGATTCCTCTTTCAGAGCCTGGTGAGGAAGGAAGTTGGTTAAGTCCAGGCCAGTCCCAGTGACGTCAGTAAGCAGACCACCTACGTCGGCCCTCTTTCTCATTCATCCATGCTGACCCCAGACTTTTCCTCTGTCTGTTGGCGGAGACTGACTCAGATGTTGATTTTTAAGGAAGTGCCAAGAGAAGGGACAGTGGCTTCAGCTTTCTGTTAGATGTGCTTTAGGAAAGCACTGATAATCGAGTCTAAGTAATTCTTATCCTAGATAATATTCAGAAGATTTAACAACATCAGTCAAGGCATTGACCAATCAGAACACTCCTGGAGCCCCTCTTTAGCTGATGGATCTTGGAGACATAAGGCTCTAAAGAGAGAGTTGGGAGTGGTCAGGGGTCCACTACCAAGCTTGGGGCAGCCACTGTCAATTCAGTAATTTAATAAGTGGTAAAGTGATATCAGCCCCCATTTCTCAGGCCATTTTTACCCCGCCTGTGGTAACTGAGATCGTTGGTTAAATCACATTCTGTATTTACGTGATCCTGGGGATACAGAAATGACCAAGACAGCTTTGGGGCCTTACCATGGGCTTATAGTCAGTGGGGTGAGTGGGGGTGATGGACCCATCACCCAATAGTGACTCCTCCGATTATAGTCAGAGCGAGGATAGGGAAGCAGAAGCAGAAGGGTCAGGACCGTGAGACCTCGGGTCTTAGAGGGCTCAGAGCTGTGGTCGAGAAGTACAGTCCAGAATTTTCAGGACTGAGATAAGGGAAACGGCAGCCAGAGTGATCAGGGCTGGCATGAATGAAGAGTAGGGGCTGTGGGACCCTCGGAGAGACACCGGACTCAGGTCAAGGAAGTTTTCCTCCAGGAAGCAACAGATAAGCTGGATCTTGAGAAAAGAGCAGGAGTCAGACTGTTAAAAAAAAAAAAACAAAACAAAAAAAAAAAACAGTGGAAAGAGTTTTTGAGGAAAAGCAATGGACACCAAGGCCCAAACGTGGCCAAAAGTGGTATGGCTGGAGGAAAGAAAAAACAGAGGAGCTGGTGAAATCGGCAGGGTCACATTACACAGGGCTTTCCAGGTTATGGTGAGGAATATAGACCCTCTGGGCAACAGGGGGAGGTCATAAAAGGGTTGAGTTTTTCTTTGTTTTTTAGATTTAATTATTTGAGAGAGAGAGAGCACGCACACAAAGAGTGGGGAGAGGGGCAGAGGGAGAGAATCTCAGGCAGACTCCCCACTGAGCAAGGAGCCGGATGTGGGGCTTGTTAGCGTGACCCACGAGATCACGACCTGAGCCAAAATTATGAGTTGGACACTTAACTGACTGAGCCACCAAGATGCCCCAAGAGTTTTGTTTTTTGTTTTTTTTCATTTATTTGACAAAGAGATAGAGAGCACAAGTAGGCAGAGCAGCAGGCAGAGGGAGAGGGAGAAGCACGCTCCCCGCTGAGCAGAGAGCCAGATGTAGGGCTCGATCCCAGGACTCTGGGATCATGACCTGAGCCAAAGGCAGCTGCTTAACCAACTGAGCCACCCAGGCACCCCTGTTTGTTTGTGGGATTTTTTAAAGAATTTTTTAAAAATTTATTTGAGAGAGAGAGAGAGAGCGTGCGCATGAGCAGGGGGAGGGGCAGAGGGAGAGAGAGAAGCTCAAGCAGACTCCCCACTGAATGTGGAGCCAAAGGGGTTGATGAGCGGGGAGGCTCGATCCCACAATGATGAGATCATGACCTGAGCCGAAACCAAGAGTCTGACACCCAACCAACTGAGTCATCCAGGTGCCCCGGTCATAAAAGGGTTTTAAGCAGAGAGTGTCGTGATCAGATTTGTATTTTTAAACAAATTATTCTGCCCTCAGAGGAAAGGAATGATGGAGGGAAATTAGATGATGGCAGTCCAACTTGGAGGTGGTGAGGTTGTCCAGATGAAGAGGAGAGTGACTGCATTCGAATGTCAGCCGGGCCCATGGAGAGAAGTGGGTGGATTTTAAGAACGCTTGAGCAGGACTTAGTGATGGATTAGACGTGGGGGTGGGTTTGCAGCTCTGGTCATGATGGAGTCCCATGTATCAGACTAAACTGCCAATGACAGCCGGAAAAGCTGGACAAGTTATAAACAATTACTTGAGGTCACTGGAGAACAGCTAACGAAGCGAGAAACTTGAGGTGCTACAATCTTTGAAATAAGGGAAGCACAGAAATTGAGTTAAGCAGAAAGCTGGCTTTATCCTGGAGTGCACTTTCCAATTCACGCTGTGAAGGGGAAATAAAACCCAAATAAGAGAGATCTTTGCTAGACAGAGAAGCCAGGGGTTAGATAGAGTCTAGGGCTGCCAGAGCGTCTGGAAAATGAGAGGTAGAGTCCGGGAACGTATGGCACCACAGAAAAGGGAGTCCCCAAATCTGCAGATTTCCTTTAAGTCATTGGCAAGCTGTACGTGCACGGGGTGGGACTCCAAGAAACTCAGCAGAAAATAGTATCTGGGAAGCTACAGAACTGAACAAGAATTCCAGCAGGCATATGATGCTGGGGAAACCAAAGTTGCCAGGTTGGAGAGAGAGGACTTGGTAACCACACCAAGCTTTCCTCTGAGACCATACCCTAGGCATAAGGGCAAAACTGAAAGAGACCCGCCCTAAAGATGCCTACATCTCATCTTCAGCAAGAAGAAAACCTAACCTTCTTGGGAAGAAAATAACATTATTTAGAGCCTTTCCAAATTTTCATTGTGGTATCTGGCATCTAGTCAAAACTTACAAGGTACCCCAAAGAAAATTGAAAGGACCAATTAACAGAACCCCTAGAGACGAATCCAACAGTAGAAACAGACTTAGAATGATTCAGATAGTGGAGTTATTAGACAGAGAAATTTAAAATAGCCATGATCCATATAGTCCAAAAAAAATAGAGGAAAGGATAAACTTTGGCAGAAATGTGGAGTCCGTTTTTGTTTTTGTTTTAAGAGTCAAACAGGAAACACAGAATAGTGACTGGAATTAAGAACTCGATAGATGTGCTTCCTAGAGACCAGAAGCAGTGGGGCAAAAGGATTAGAGAACTAGAAGACAGGCAGTAGAAGTCTCCAGAATGGTGCCTAGACGTGGAGGATCAAGGAACCTGCCAGGTTTCTGCTGTGGGGGACTGAATGGGACCACATGACAGATATAGAATTGAGGAGAGAAGGACTAGTTTAGAGAAGATGGAGAGCTTCCTTTGGAGCAGGTAGAGATGCAGGTGTTTGAGGGATGGTCAGGGGTCTCTCCAGAGGCAGGTGGGTGTACAGATGTGGAGCTCAGAGAGAAGTCCTGCCTGCAGTGAGTTTCCAGCCGACGCGTGGAAATGAAGCCATGTCAATGGATAACATCCCATGGGAGAGAATGTGCTCCATGAGAAATGAAAAGGGCCTGAGACAGAACCCCGAGGATCACCCACATTTAGAAGAGCAGCATAAGAAGTAGAATTCATGAGGGGACCCAAGGATGGTATAATGGCAGTGACGGCACTCCGTGTTTCCTTTTCATGGAAGTTCATGTAAGAAGACATGAGTTGTTGACATTTTAATGATTTTTCTTTAGGGTTGGGGAAGATTTGGCCTTGGGCGTAAATGATTCGCCTAATTCCAGCAGCTGACCTGAGCTGAGAGAGTGGCTGAGACAAGCCCTCTCTCTCATGTAGGACTTGGCCCCAACTCAACTTGGATATTTGGGGTCAGGAAGGGGAGGGCGTGCCAGGCTTCGGAATGGTCTGAGTGAGCCAAGGCCTGGCCAGGGAACTGACTCTAGTGTTTCCAGGGGAAAATAGTTCACCCCCTTGGCCTGGACTAGGAGGTGCGAGAGGCAGTGTGATCACAGATTAATCAAGACAGGCTTGGATCCTTGACACATTGGGTAGTGCATTAATTACCTATCACCTCATCACAGATTGTCCCAAATCTTAAAAACAAAAATGAGCAGGTATTATTTCACAAAGTTTCTGACGGTCAGATTCTGAAGAGTCTGGAAGTGACTTAGGGTGGTGGTTCTGGATCTTTCATGAGGTTGCAGTCAAGACGCCAGCAGAGCTGTCATCATCCCAAGGCTCCCAGGGGAGCTTTACTCACATGGATGGACCCCTCCTGTGGCTTGGACAAAGGCCTTCGTTCCTTGCCACGTAGACCTCACCATGGGGTGTTTGAATGTTCTAGCCACATGACAGCTGGACGCTCTCCAGACCAAGTAATCCAAGAGAGAGCCAGGAAGAAGTTGTGATGCCTTTTATGACCTAGAGCAGGAGTCATACACCATCATTTCCGCAGTATCCCATTAATTACACAGGTCAGCCCTATTCTTTGTGCGTGCGTGCCAGGAAGTGAGGGTCACCGGGGGCCGTCTCAGAGGTTGGCTACCACAGAGAACAATAGCAGGGTTTTAGACAATCTTCATTCACTTATTTAACAAATATTTACTGAATGTCTTCTCTGGCTCTGGCCCTGTGATGGGTAGTGTTGGGACACAGTAATGATCAGGACAGCCCCGGCTCCACCTCCTGGGGCTCAGAGTCCAGGCAGACAGGGATGACCCAGAGTGGGTGTGGCTGGAGTTGGGGAGCCCTGAGGGGCACACTGATCCAGTCTGGGAGGTCAGGGAGGACTTCTTAGAGGAGGTGAGATTTGAGATGATGCCTGAACAATTAGTAGGAGCAGATGGGGAAAGTAGGGAGCCAAGGGAGCAAGGGAGCGCATTCCAGGAAAGGCTGGATGCCAGTCAACATGCACATTCAGGGGCTGTGGGAAGTCATAGGGGGTAAAGTCTGAGGGGCTAGTGGAGGGAGATGAGGCAGGAGAAGTGGCCCAGACCCAGAGGTTGGTGGGCCTTGAATGCCACATGGAGTAGCTTGGATTTTATTCTGAGGGCACTGGGGAGCCACGGAGAGATTTTGAACAGAGCACAGGCAGGGCCAGATTTAAATATTAGAAACATCCTTCTAAGAGCCTAGATATCCGTCAACAGATGAATGGATAAAGATGATGTGGTGTATATATATATATATACACACACACACAATGGAATATTATGCAGCCACCAAAAAACCAAAATCTTGCCATTTGCAACGACATGGATGGAACTAGAGGGTATTATGTTAAGTGAAATAAGTCAATCAGAGAAAGACAATTATCATATGATCTCACTGATATGAGGAATTTGGGAAAGAAGACAGAGGATCATAGGGGAAGGGAGGGAAAAATGAAACAAGACGAAACCAGAGAGGGAGATGAACCATAAGCATAAGAGACTCTTAATCTCAGGAAACAAACTGAGGGTTGCTGGAGGAGAGGTAGTGGGAGGAATAGGGTGGCTGGGGGATGGACACTGGGGAGGGCATGTGCTATGGTGAACGCTGTGAATTGTGTAAGGCTGATGATTCACAGACCTGTACCCCTGAAACAAATAATACATTATATGTTAATTTAAAAAAAAGAAGAAGAAAAAGAAACATCTTTCTAGGGCCATCTGGGGATGCACTGGTTAGGCCTGGGGGGCAAGGGTGGAAACCAGGAGGCCAGGGAGGAACCTGGTATTGAAGGAGTTCTGACCTGGTCATGGGGCTGGAAACGAGGGGATGCTGCTAGAAAGATTCAGAAGGTGGGATGGGCAGGGCTTTGAATGATCGGCTAAAAGTGAGATAAGGAGGAATTGATGCTAAGGTGAGTCTTCAAGGGAGCTAGAATTCCAGAACTCTCCCCATGGAGTCATCCTCCTGCCCCTCCCCAAACAGGTCGGACTTCCACCTTTCCCCGAACCCGAAGCCGTTACCTCGAATGTGTTTCCTGCGCCTCCTCAGATCTGAGCTGTGAGAGGGGCTGGGATCAGAGCCTACAGTGCCGCAGCCCTACAGAACAGTGTGTGGAAGTGGTGACCCACCGGAGCCTGGAAGGTGAGCTCCAACCTCACAGCACCTCCTCCCCCCTGCATTGCTTCTCCCCAAGGCTGCCCTTAACAATGACCCCAGAATAACAAGAACTTAAAGGTGGAAAGTTAGGGCCCTCACACAAAAAGTCTAGTGATAGGAAGTCCTGGGCCACTAGGACAATTCTACAGTCACCAGGAACCCAGATGCTTTCTCATATCTTGTATATTGCTTCCATTCTGAAGATTGCCTCATAGTCCAACATGGCTGCCAGAGCTCCAAATCTCATGTCCAAGTTCCAGGAAGGAGAAAGAGGAAAAGGAATAAAAAACAGATATCCCTCCTTTTGTGAGGGTTCTCCTTTCTTGAAGTCCCATAAAACCTTTCTATTTATATCACATTGGCCAGAACTTAGCCACATGATTATACCTATGGAAGCTGGAAAATGTGTTTTGTTTTGTTTTGTTTTGTTTGTTTGTTTTTGGCCTAGATATATGGCTGCCCCAAATGAAATGAAGGTCCTATAATGAGCAGTGAAGCAGGAAATGAACAGATGACTGCAGTGGTGGTGGGCAAAGCCAGTCTCAGCCCCTGAACAACCTGACCTCTCTCCTCTGGCCCCCACAGGCAGTCCAAGGGATGAGCACCACACCCGCGGCTGTGGCAACCTTCCGGGCTGCCCGGGCCCCACCGGCTTTCACAACCACCACACCTTCCACTTCCTGCAGTGCTGCAACACCACCAAATGCAATGGGGGCTCAGGTGAGGGGCAGGGGACCCACGCAGTGTATGACCTGGGGTCAGGGCAGGGAGGTGTACCCGGGCTGCGGCCCCTCCTCTCTAGGTGTCTGTCTCCTGTGAAAACCCCTCCTCAAAGAAGGCTTCTGTGGAAATTCGATGTGCCCATCCAACCTTTACCAAAGACCCATGCTTTATACTTCCTTGAATCCTTTCACGCTCATAGTCCATGCCACCGGTCCCCATTTCCACGCCTGCCTCCTACAGCCAGTGCTCAGCACAGCAAGAGTGACTTCTTACAAATGTAAACCAGAGCACGTCACTCTCCTTCTTCAGGCACTCCAGCAACCCTTCCTTGCTCTCAGAATAAAATCCAAAGACCATCCCAGGCCTTATGTAATCTGACATCTGTCTGTCTTGTGGTCTACACTGAGTTTCTGCAACTGCCAAACTCCATCCTGCCTCATGGCCTTTGCACAATCAGTACCCTTCACCAGGAACACATCTTCCCCAAGAGTTTACCTGGCTGGCTGCTTCTCATTCGTTAGGTCTCAGCTTTAAAGTACCGTCTGCAGGGAAACATCCCTTGTCCCTCCCCTCCACTATAATCTCACTCCTTTGTGTTATTCTGTCTCTATAAACCAATACTGTCCAATGGAACTTTCCACGGTGATAGAAATATTCTCTATCCATACTGTCCAATATGGTAGCCACTGACTCATATGGCTATTGAGCACTTGAAATGTGAACTGAATTTTGAGTTTTCGTGAATACAAATTCATTTCAGCATAAATGTAAACCTCCACAGTGCCTAGTGGCTACCACGTTGGACAGTGTAGCTCTAAGTGGTAAGTGCTGTAGGGCAGGGACGGTTTCGTCTTCCACAGCTGCTTGCCACATAGGATCAGATAGGGGCTCAGGAGGGGCGGTGAGGTGGGATTTCTCTCACAGGTACAATAAAGAATCCCCCAGAAGGGGCGCCTGGGTGGCTCAGTCAGTCAATCATCTGCCTTTGGCTCAGGTCATGACCTTCGGGTCCTGGGATTGAGTCCCGCATCTGGCTCCTTTCTCAGCGGGAGTCTGCTTCTCCCTCTCCTTCTACGCCCCGGTTTGTGCTCTCTCTCCCACTCTATTTGAGATAGATCTCAAATAAATAAAAGCTTAAAAAAAAAAAAAAAAGCCCCCCCCCACCAAAAGAGTGCTGTTCCAATGCCTGACCACAAGGTGGCGCCATGACATCTCAGGCTGCGAGTTGACAGTTCTAGGGGAGGTAGGACCTGCCTCCCACCCTACCTGCCCACACCCCCATACTAATTTCCTTGATTTGTGTGTCACTTGTCTTCTCCCAAGTCGTGGAGCTTCAAAACCTGCCTCTGAATGGTCTCCAGTGTTACAGCTGTGAGGGAAACAGCACCCATGGATGTTCGTCGGAGGAGACTTCCCTGACCGCCTGCCAAGGCCCCATGAATCAATGTCTGGAAGCCACGGGCACTAATGGTGAGCCCTTCTAGGAGGCTGGGAGAGGATGCTTGTTGCCGGGGAGGGTTGTGGGCCACAGGCGGACTTCATGGAGCTGGGTCTACCTGTGGAGAAGGTAGGACTTTCTTCAAGAGGGTGCAAAGTGTCCTCAGGAATTGGGACTTCGTTAAGAAACGGGCATTCCTGCCACAGAAATGTGGACTTCTCTGGGGGGTGGGACTTCCACGAGGGGGTGGGACTTCCCACGAGGGGGTGGGACTTCCCACAAGGGGGTGGGACTTCCTGTGTCTATGGCGGGCTTCCATCCTGGCCCATACTGGGCCGGTCTCTCTGTTCCAGTGGTTCTCAAACTTTTTCATCCAGAAATTCCTTCATGCTCTTAAAAATTATTACTTGTGTCAGTTATAGCTATAGATAGTTACTGCATTAGAAGTTAAAACTGAGATATTTTAAGAGATGTAAATTATTTATTTGTTATTTATGTTTTTAGAAAGTGGGAGACCCCCTGAGTGGGGGATGGGGAGAGGGAATCTTTTCTTTTTCTTTTTTTTGGGGAGATGGGGGGTAGGAGAGAGAGAATCTTAAGCAGGCTTCAGCGTGAAGCCGTACTCGTGGCTTGATCTCATGACCCTGAGACCATAACCAAGAGTTGGACACTTAACAGACCGATCCACCCAGGCGCCCCTATTAATTTATTCTAAAATAAATTGATTTAAAATAAAAATATAAAATAAAACCTCATTCTATATGAACATATTTTTTACTTAAAAAAATGACATTTTCCAAAATGAAAACATTTAACAAGAAGACTGGCGTTGTTCTACCATTTTGCAAATCTCTTTCACGTCTGGCTTAATAGAAGACAGCTGGATCCTCATATCGGCTGCAAACTCACATGTCCCAGGGTTTCTGGAAAACCCCCCACTGTACACTCACACGAGTGGAAAAGTCGAATGATGCTTTAGCATTATTAGAATTATTTTGACTTCTTCTGGGTTCCCCCAAGAAGGGTCTGGGGGACCGCACTTGAAACTGCTGCTTTCTTCAGGTAGCATCCACCACCAGGTGGCAGGTCACCCACTGAGCACTGCAGACCCAGCCCCAGGAGCTGGGAGTCTCAAGCAGTCTTCTCTCTCCTCAGGGCTGGGCAACCCGATCTACACAGTACGAGGCTGCGCGACCCCCTCGTGGTGCCAGAGTCTCCATGTGGCTGAAGCCTTCAGCCTGACCCATCTCAACGTCTCCTGCTGTACTGGAACCGGTTGTAACCACCCGGTCCGGGATCACCAGCCCCGCATGGGTGGTGCCCCCCGGCCTGGTCCTGCCCACCTCAGCCTCACCACCACCCTGCTTATAACCGCCAGACTATGGGGAGGCACTCTTCTCTAGACCTGACCCCCTCATACACTCCCCCTACCCTGGCTGGATCCAGGGGAGCCCTTTGCCCTCCCCTCAGCTCCCAGCCCTTTAGACTTGCTGTGTGACCTCAGGCCAGTGTACTGCCCTCTCTGGGTCTCAGTTTTCCTAGCTGTCTCACAGAGTTGGAGAACCAGAGGAGAAAAGCTGGAGAAAGACTGCAGGCCAGCAGGAGAGGTCTTGTTATGTTAGCGTTGTTGTACCATTGTTGTTATTATTAATTAATATTTGTTTTATTTAATATTTTATACTTAAATAAAGATTTTTGTACCAGTGAACTGAGGAAGGCCTTATCTTCTCTACTCTGTAGCATCTCTCTTTGGGAGGATGAATGGGGGGGCATCTTTCATCTAGCTCCTGGAATTAGGAGTCACATTGTAGGACCCCAGCATTTAGGGCCCCAGCCTTGGAAGCAGTTGTCCATGGGCTTCCATCCTAAGCTACCTCCACATCTGTTTCTGGGATCCAACTCACTCATCCAAGCACTAACCTTCCTGTCTCTCCTCCCAAACTCCAAAGGTCAAGACTGCTCCGTTGTTCCAGGGAGAGGCATCTGCATTTCCTAAGGGGCTCTGAGACCCTCAGATGAATGGGAGGGATAATCTAATGGCCAGAACTCCCTAGGGGCCCTCCACTGAGGAATCAGGACTACCTTTCCCCTGATGACTGCCCTGGCAGGAGATAAAGGCAGGGCTCTTTGTCCTAGGATGCCTTCAGACTGACTGAGAAAAAGACAACTCTCTGGGGCACCTAGGTGGCTCAGTGGGTTAAAGGCTTGCCTTCGGCTCAGGTCATCATCCTGGAGTCCTGGGATCGAGCCCCGCATCGGGCTCTCTGCTCAGCGGGGAGCCTGCTTCCTCCTCTCTCTCTCTCTGCCTACTTGTGATTTCTGTCTGTCAAATAAATAAAATAAAATCTTTAAAAAATTTTTAAATAAAAAAGACAACTCTCATTTCCATGACACTCTTGGGGCACAATATTGAAGAATTCATGTTTCCTCTGATTTGCTGAGGCAAGCCCAAAGAGACAAAATTATGTTCCCCAGGACCCTATGGCTAATGAAGAAAAGGATAAGACATCTTCCATGGTATTTGGGGGCAGGCAAGGGACAGGGTTTCTTTTTAAGACCTCCTCAAATCACATTAACACGGAGGGTCACCACGGCGCTTCAAGAGGTGGGCTCAGTGTCTCTATTTCTTGAACGTGAGTGGCTCTGGGACTGCTTTGACCAATAGAATGTGGTGGAAGTTATGCCATGGCATGTTCCAGGAGGCTTTAAGAAACTGGCTCTGGGGAAGCCAGCTGCCATGTCACAATCCTGCGCGGAGAGACTGTCGTGCTCTGGGGACGCCCACGCTACTCATGCATGGATGCCACGTGGGGAGAGAGCCCCAGATGTTCCATCCATCTCAGCCCAGACACCAGACAAGTGGGTGAAGGGGCGGCCCTAGACGTCACACCCCCACCAGATGTAACACACAGGAGCGTCGGGAAGCCTGGCTGTCTTCAGTTTCCCGGGACCACCATAGTCACTACCAACTTTCATACTGGGGGGCTTCCGGCAACAGAAATGTATTCGCTCAGAGTTCTGGATGCTAGAAACTGAAATCAAGATGTTGGCAGTGCCATGCTCTTTCCGAAGTTGCTGGGGGAAGGATCCTTCCTGGCCTCGTCCTGGCTTCTGGGGGTTGCTGACAATTCTTGGTGTTTCTGGGCTTGCAGCCACGCAACTCCAATCTCTGCCTCTGTCCTCATGTGGCCTTCTTCTCAGTGAATCCCGCTGTGTGGCTCCAAATCTCTCCCTGTCCTTATAAGGACATCACACATTGGATTTAGGGACCCGCCCTAATCCAGGGTGACCTCATCTTAATCTCATCCGCAAAGACCCTATTTCCAAATAAGCTCACATTCATAGGTCCTGGGGGTTAGAACTTCAATGTATGGCGGGGGGCAGAATTCATTCCACAACATCAGACAGCAGCCAGAGCCAAGGTTTCAGTATGGCCCCCTATGAACCATCCCACCCACCTCCAGCTGTTCCAGCCCCGCCTTGGGCCGGGGTCCATTGTGGAATAGATAATGCACTGATCCTGCTGTGCCTTGCTCAAATTCCTGACCCACAGAATCATAAAATAAAAAGGTTATGGTTTCACACCACTGAGTTTTGGGGCATTTTTTTTATGCTGTGATGGTTAATGGGAATAGTCATTTGTTTGGTAGTTTGCGAACTCTCCCCGCTATAATCTCCATAAAGGGCAAGACCTTTATTTCTTCGCTACTACTGTATGCGCAGTACCAAGATGAATAATGCCTGGAACATGGCAGGTAATTAAGAAAGAAAGGAGGAAAAGAAGGACCGAAGGAAGGAAAGATCACATCTTTAGTATCTTACAACAAAAACTGGCTAGGGCTGTATCTGTCCTGATGTCCTACAGCAGAGATGAGGCCAAGATAACATTTTCTGAGCTACTCTAAATTAAAATTGAGGGTAGTTTCTCCCCTTTCCCATGGTTGCCTACCACAGAGGTTGGAGGCTTGGATTACGTCCACCACAATGCCCTCCAGCAGACACTAGAGGCTAGGAATACATTTCCCATGATGCCTTACAGCAGGCGTAGAAGCTGGGACTGCATCTCCCATGAGACCCTGTGGCAGAGATGGGGAACTAGGATTACATCTCCCAGCGTGCCCTCCAGTGAGGATCAGAGGCTTGAAATACATGTCCCACAATGTCTTCCAGCAGATATTTTGAGGCTCAGGATACATTTCTCATAATGTTCTACACCAGAGCTTGTGATCAGGACCTCATCGTTAATGGCTCCCAAGTTTTTGTTTAGGGATTTCGGTTGCAAGAAATAAAATCCGTTTAAGCTGACTTAAGCAAAACGATAATGTTATTGGAGGTTTAGAATCCAAGCAAGAGCTAGGTCTCTGGGCCTCATGAGGGACAAGAAAGAGAACTGAAAAGCTGTGTGAAACCAAGGTTGTCTCCCTTTTGCAGAATCTCTGTCTCTGTCTCTGTCTCTGTCGCTCTCTCTCTCTCCTCTTTCTCTCTCTGAATTGTGGTTTCCCTCATGGGCTTCCACTTTATTTTTCTGTCTCCCCACAGAACCCCCTTCTTCTGCTTCACACAGAGTAGCCAAATATGCCCTTGAAATGTCAAGTACCAAGGACTCCTTGGGTCCCAGTTCTAAAACTTGAGCTAGCAGATAGACTCTGATGGGGTCTAGTTGGGGTCAGGCCTCTGGCTCTGACCCTCTCTGCTATGCCAGGGAAGTTCACCCCTAAGTCAGGAAGCTAGTACAGTTGTTCAGGTTGTGAACAGGCATCTACTGTCCTTCCAACTCCCTTGGTATGCAGTCCGTTTAGCCTGAGCTCGGAGAGCAAACCCCGTGCGGGATCCTACCACAAGGACAGGGGGCCAACTGAAAAAGTGAACTGTCATTTGAAGTATTTTAATCTGCAAGCAGGTCTGTGTCCCTGTGTTCTATATGAATCAGAGGCAACACAGAGGCCAGGGATGTGTGGAACAGGACACCCAACTCAAAATGCCTGAAACAAAGAAGAAATTGATTATCTAAATGACAAGAGATCATGAGTTAGGGCAGTTCCTGAGTTGACTAATTCAATGTTTTCCGCTAGGCCCTAAAGGGTCCATTCAGGCTTGTTCCACCTCATGGCCCCAAGATGGCCGCTGCAATTCCAGACATCACACCCACATTCAGAGGCAATAACAAAAGGCCATCTCTTCTTGGGTCTTTTCTTTTTAACAAAGAAAGCTTAACCCAACCCCTCCAAGCCAACTTGCCCTCACATTTTATTTGTCTGGTTTCTTTCATTCACCTATGCCTACAACAATTGCTGGCAGGGGGCAGGGAACCACCGTATTGAGCAAAATATACTCAGATCCCACTCCTAAGGCTTCCCTCACAACATCTGGCTACTAAGGAAAGGTAGATGCTTGAACAAAATCAGGATTCTCTTAAAAGGAAAAGGGGTGTGGGCACCTGGGTGGTGGAGCCAGTTAAGCCTCTGACTCTTGGTTTTGGCTCAGGTCCCAATTGATGGTGGGGTCATGAGATCAAGCTCTGCATTGGGCTAGCTCTCAGCACAGAGTCCATTTCAGATTCTCTCTCCCTCTACCTCTGCCCCTCCTGCTCTTGCTCTCTCTCCAATAAACAAAGAAGGGTACCTGGGTGGCTCAGTCAACCGTTTAAGCGTCTGCCTTGAGCTCAGGTCATGATCTCAGGGTCCTGGGATTGAGTCCCACATGGGGCTCCCTGCTCAGTGGGGAGCCTGCTTCTCTCTCTCCCTCTCCCTCTGCCTCTCTCCCTTGGCTGGTGCTTGCTCTTTCTATTTGTCTCATAAATAAATAAATAAATAAATAAATAAATTTTTAAAAATAAAAAAAATAATTAATCATTTAAAAAAAGGAAAAGGGGGGAGGGAATGTCTATTAGGAAAAAAAAAAAAAAACCACCCAGTCTTCCTCCCATAGATGGAAAGACCCAGCTCTTCTTTATCCTATGCGCCTCCTTTACCCTCACTGCCACGCTCACAACACTTCCAGTCACCAAAATGTGGGGGAGTTTCCCCACACCCAGCAGCTCTCTGGGACATGGGCTGGGTGTCCTACCACTGAACTCAACTTTGACACGATCTACCTGCACGATCTACCTGGAGATGGCATCAGACCCCACAGGCGAAGGGCTCAGTCCCACAAGTGCACTCCTCTCCTCTCTTCAGATGTCAGTCACAGGGCTGGGCTGTCTCCTGTGCTTCTGAGCCACCGGTTAAAAATCAGAGGTTCCCAGGGTGCCTGGGTGGCTCAGGGGGTTTAAGCCTCTGCCTTCGGCTCAGGTCATGATCTCAGGGTCCTGGGATGGAGGCCCACATCAGGCTCTCTGCTCAGCAGGGAGCCTGCTTCCTCCTCTCTCTCTGCCTGCCTCTCTGCCTACTTGTGATCTCTGTCTGTCAAATAAATAAATAAAATCTTAAAAAAAAAAATCAGAGGTTCCCACGGCCCCCCATCCCCCGCTCCGGGTTGGGTTAATTTGCTAGAGTGGCTCCCAGAACTCAGGGAAACAGTTTGATTACCTGTACCAGTTCATTGTAGAAGGCTAGGACAAAGGATACAGATGAACATCTAGACGGAAATGAGGCTAGAGGTGTAGGGCAAGGTATGTGGGAAGGGGCAAGGAGCTTCTCCAGGGGGAGCACTTTCCCAGCAACTTCACGAGCTCACCAACCTGGAAGCCCCCTAAATCTTGTAACTTTTGTGATTTTATGGAGGCTTCATCCCATAAGCATAATCATTCTCTAACTCCATTTTCCACCCTTCTCCTTTCTCAAGAGAATGGGGGCAGGACTGAAAATTCCAAGCTTCTAATAAACGATTTGCTCCTTCTGGTGACCAGCTCTCATCCAGGAGACGTCCAGAAGCTCACCCAGAGTCACTTCATTAAAAAAAAAGATACTCCTATCCCCCAAGGAAATTATAAGGATTTCAGGAGCTCTGTGCCAGGAACCAGGGGCAGAGACCAAATACATATTTCTAGTATCTCCCAGAATGATATTGAGTAAACAATTAACAAAGTCTGCACTATCCCAACACTTTAAAAATTCAAGAATGGTGTGCTCATCCCATCCATCCCCCCATAGCAGGGCCAGGAGTGGGCTCCCCAGTATCATTTCTGTTTTAAGAAACTGATTCACCTCTGACCTGAAGGTGGGGGGAGCCTGTGATTCATGTCTAATTGAATCAGCA